TCATACTTTAAGGCTGCCTGTTTATTTAAGGGAGATGAACAAAACACATTGGAATTGTACATAATAATATCACGGATGATAAATTCAATAGATTTTAAGTAGATGTTTGTGCATTCTTAAAGTCTTATATGTTGAATTGAACTATGTGATCTGTTCAAAGCCTCTCCCAGTCAGTGCTGTTCTCCATGCCTGTCTGACTGTACATGATGTTATTAGCACAAACACTTTAAAGGTGATCATTTAGGACTTCAGCAATAATACAGACAGCAATGTAGTTAGCAATAAAACAGTTAGTTTTATTGGGAATTAACTTAAAAAAACAAACAAACCTCTGTCTCCTATTTTTTGTCACACAGGAAAGAAGCATCAATATCTGATAAGAAGACTTATTTATTTATTTTTTTGGTTTGTTTTTTTTTCAACAGGAGATGAATATCTCTAACAAGTTGATTTGTTCACATTTTCACATCTTAATTTTTAAGTGAAATGTGCATTTTTGAGTTTATACACTATGTGTATAAGGTGACCGTTTGTGGTGCATTTTTCTATGTCTTAACAAAAGGTGAACAAAGGTGTTTAAGTTCACCTAGGATGATTTGTTTTCATTTTCACATGGTTTTACTGAGGTGATGCGAATTGAAACATGCATTCTTTGTTTTTTGGCGGTCATTGACCCTGAAAAAGGCGTATGAACCCTGTTATAGAGTATATGTGTAAGTATGTATTATATCTACTATATTTATCCAGAAATATATCCTTGTAAAATAACACAAACCTTCAAAATGATATGTTCTGTATCTTGATCTCCATGTTTATCTCTGCCAAAGCTGGAATTACAGTCCAGCAAGAAAGGAGATTACTTTGAATTTTAAGGGCATGTGTTTAAGACCAAGAAACACACTTCAATGAATTGAAATAAAAATATCACATCTGGACATTTTTGTAGATTTGGAGTCTTTGAATTGTCTTGGGGTTTTTTGTTTGTTTGTTTGTTTGGCTTTTCAAGGAATAAGTGGTTCTAAAACTGATCTATGGGGAGCCTCGAGTCATTTTAGAGTGAGAAATAACTATCTGTCAACTATCTGTTGACAGTGGTGAAAAACACCTTCTTACATGCTTTTTTAGAAGAAAATTATTCAGCAATTTCTTTTAGATAAGAACTTCCAGCAGTGTATTTTAGTGAATGCGCTATCAAATATTTGAGGATGTTAGTAGCTTCTGCAACACAAGATTTTTTTTATGCAAATACAACCCACCCTAAAATGCAGTCCGTGACTAAAGATTGATTTGTCTTTTTCTTTGCTCAACACATCTGCCAGCACTCGGAGATACTGTATGTATTTCTCATGTATAAAATCTACAAGTTAGTAATTGTAATTGTCATTTGGAGGACAATACTGTAGTTTAAAAAACTACTTTGTAAGAACTGCAGCTGTTGTAAGCACTCTTAATTAAAAACCATGAAAGATTCTTACACATGAAGCAAATTCATTATAAGCCATATGTTGTTTAATATTGGGACAAGAGTGGGACTTAAACAAAAGTTGGGTCAGAATTTAAGTATGGACCTTGTGTCACGCCGAGGTGGTTTGGGGGGCTCGATGACAGACAGAACCTCTCTGGCATACTGACTCTGGTGTAGACCGGCCTCCCGCAGAGCCTGCTCAACCCGCACTCTTGGATCAGACACAATCTGGAAGATAGATTTTTTTTTTTTATAAACACAGCTGCTTTATGCAACCTTTGCTGTTTTTAATGGTTCACTACACATTTAATACTTGACATAAGGTTTGATCATTAATTTATCATCATTTAGTGCCAGAAGAGAAAAGCATCACAGTCTGACAATCATTAGTCAATACCTATATTACACAATATCCAAATCCTAACCTGTTAAAACAAAACCACACACAGACTCTACAGTTCACTGACTGACTTTGGTGGCCTTGAAATTAGACTGTTGAGGACAAACACTTTTTGGCCAGCCACCCAGCTTACATAATTTTCCACCAGTGCATGGGTCATTGGTCAGTGTCACCCAAAAGGAACTGAAACTTAAGTGACTTAATGTAACGAAGGAAACGTGAGTGAGGGAGCGAGACATCATGTAGGCTCAATACATACAGAGCAGAGATAAGAGGACAGGGGCAAATGATCATGCAGCCTTAAAGACTTTGCAAAGAAAGTGGTTATAGGAGGGCAGATCCTATCATGTCTCACCTGTGTGTCTGTGTACGTGTTTATACTGTAGAGAGGCTTTTGGAGCTCAAACTCGTTTACATTCAAGTGTCGACACTTCCAAGCCTCTGTGTCTGCCATCATCCTCTCTGGGTCTGCCTCTGCCACCACCCCAACCTTAGATAAATAAGAAAAATATACACTGGATTTACTAATAATATACAATTGTCTTTTTACCTACTGCCATAAGGTGGCAGTGATGCCTTTACTCAGATAAGGATGAGTCGAGTTTTTTTCCCCTGTGAGTTATTTCTACTGACAGAACTAATCCAAGTGGTTGAAAGACCAGATAATGCTCCACCTGGTTTCTAAGAGCTTCCAGACGATTCTGTCTCTCTTCTTCTTCTCTCTGCCGCTCAAGCTCCCGCGCCTCTCTATCCAGCCGTCGCTGTTGTAGCATATCTGCCCGAAACTGCACCCTAGAGGAAGCAGAAAAGGTGTGGACATCAGACCTAAACAATCCCTTTCTTCCTCTGCCACTGCCACAATCAACATTACATATTGCTCCTGACACAGCAGACCTCCAGGCTGTGGAGGGCTCTACGGTGCTGCCAGAGTGCAGCTCCTCTCCCGTCACCTGCTTTTATCTCTGTCTCAGCTCCTCAATGAATCCGTTTCGCATCTGAATTCATTCTCACAGCCAAAGTCAACAACATTATACGGATTCAATGTGAGTGTGTGTCTGCAGAGAAATCAAATGGAAACCACACCATGCAAGAGAATGTTTTTAAAGGCATGTTTTATTTTTCAGCAGCAAGTTAACATTAGTCTGAGACATTATTTTTCCTGTTGAAAGTTTCCAGTGTGCTCACGTCTGACTGACCCCGCATCACTGATGAGGTGCAACATTTCCAGTGACTCAGCAAGGGTCGAGCATGGAGGTGTTAGAAAGTTGCAAATATTCAGAGAAAGTACTTGTGATGCTACATTGTTATCAGAGCATTCTTTTCATTTAAGAAACTACAATCAGCAGTGATTTCTGATTAATACTATGTTTTTCATTTAGCAGTACATATTCCTGTGTATTCAGTAAATATTTTATGATTGATATACACTAATACATTATATATACCTGTTCAACAGCTGATTAACACAAACATCTAATCAGCTACTCACATGAGTTACAGCTACATGTCTACATTTAGGTATGCAGACACGGTGAAGATGGCCTGCTGAGGTTTAAAGGAATCATCAGAATGGGCAAGAACACTGATTTAAGTGACTTTGAACATGGCATTGCTCTTGGTGCCAGATGGGATGGCTGAGTATTTGAGAAACTGCTGATGGGCTTGGATTTGCCCACACAACTATAGAATTTACAGAGAATGGTCTGAAAATGAGAAAATACGCAGTAAGTGCCAGTTCTCTGGGCGAAAATGCCTTGTTAATGCCAGAGGTGAGAGGAGAATGGCAAAGCTGCTTTTGAGCTCATAGTAATGCATCATCAACCCACAGGATGTTGTGGAACAAAGGATTCACATTATAGATGTGCAGCCAAATAGTCTGCAGCAACTGCGCGACGCTAACATATCAATATGGACCAAAATCTCTAAGTATGCGTCCAGCACTTTGTTAAATCTATGCCATAAAGAATTAACAAAGTTCTGAAGGTAAAAAAGCAGTTCAACCCAGGTACAGAAAAAAGTGTACCTAATACAAAGTGACCACAGAGTGTATGTATAAATATTATATTGCAAACACAGCACACAGTGGGCTGATGGAAGGATAAGACTATGTAAAGAAGAAAAAATATAGACACTGTATTCTTAGGTTTTGTGTCCATGAAAGTTCCAACGTGTATTATTTAATTAGTCAATGAAAAGACTGACTAATGATACATGATACAAATGAAGGTGAAATGGTAATAATTTCCTGTTAATACTCT